CTGTCCTGAAAAACACAAAATGCTCTACATCTTACAACAGCAGTACAGATAAGATTAGAATTTCAACAGCCAATCCATATGCAAAAGAATCTCCTCAGGAAAGCTCCTCCATTAGCATGTCACAGCCTGGGAAACTCCTACAAGATAATGACTCAGCCCTACCCCACCTTCCTGAGTAGATATAAATTACCTGCCTACCATTTTTTCCTCACATTGACACAGAGAGTACTCCATCTTTCTGTGTTATACCTCTGAGGATGCCAGTCACAGCTGCTGGCGAAATGTCAGGTAGTACAATGGCAAGACCACGGCCATACAGCCTGGAAAATCAACAACAACTAATGAACTCCGGCCTTGAAAACCTTTGACAACATAAAGAAGATACTATTTTTAAGATCTATCTATCTCAGTGGCATCCGGGAGAAAAAGGCAGAACCGTTAATTTGCCTTTGTTGCGCCCACAGATGTCATGAAGTGTTGAACGGCAGCATTTAGAAGAGTAAGAGAATGACACTGGTGGTGGGAAGGCGAGTTGCTCAGAACGTCATAGGCACTATGCAAGAAAGACGCAACCACGTGGCAGTGAAAATATGATGGCTGCTCTCTGTACAGGAAGAACTGCCTCTCCTCAGCTACGAAATAATGGACTTCACACGCTCCGAAAATGTGATATCCCTGCAACAGAAGCACTCCCTTAAAGGAAGATGTCTTGACCCTGTGCAAAAAGGGAATAAGACGTGCGTATTTCTTGTGGAAGAGAAAGGGTGTGAGGAGAAGACCTAAGAGCCCATGAGACAATATCCATTCCATTCCATAGTGGACCCCTTCTTAACCTGTGGGCATGCGGCATGCGCTGGCGCAGCTCCTGTGCGGAACCAGAGTCTCCGTCCTCCCTGATACACAGCTCTGTCTCTGATCCCTTCTGGGAGCTTTCGCCATTCTCTTCACCTGCCACAGTATTAAGGGCCTCCACACCGGAGTGCTGAGAGATAAGAAGCTGTGAGAGAAAGGAGCAAAGTGGTCAAAGAGCCTTCCACCGTGATCCAGAACGGCTGCTCCCCCTACAAAATCCCACTTACCCCAAGCTGCACTCGCATCAGGATCTGGCTGCCAGGACCAGAGTTACTGAGTGGGAACCAGCGGTCCAGGACCAGCCCCTCTGCTGCCAGCAGCTGCGAAAGTGGAAGTGACAGCATGCCCACAAGGTGCCCATCATCTTTCACCTATGGGGATAAGCATTATAAATCGTTACAAACAGACAGATACCACAAACATTTTACTGAGGATGGGCCTGGAGCAGGCTGATTTTCCAAGCCCAGTTCCTCCCATGCCCTACAATTCTCTCAGCTGCAAGGGGACATTCCCTTTTGTAGGATCCTACCAAGCAGAAAGACTGAGCTGAGAGAATGTGTGCCCCCTCTGTGGCTGATTCGCTTTCTCTCCAGTCTCTAAGCAAAGGGAACAGTCCCCTTCAAAGTATAAAGTATCCAAGAGAGGGAGCTGCATTCCAAGAACAGTTCCCTTTACAGCTTAAAAGATCTGGTGGTGGTGTGGGAGGATTTTCCGCTCCCTTCCCTTTAGGGCCTGGGCTGGAAAAGCCACTTGCCTGATCTTAACTCACAGCCCAGCAAGCTTGTGTCTCTTGTAAGCATGCTGATCTCTGCCTTCCAGGGGTCCCTGGTAGCAATTCATGTGCACTCTTTGGCACCCACCAGATCTTGGGGTTTGGGAGGGGAGAGCTGACCACTCCAAATCTTTTTCCGCAACAGCACAGGGATCTCAGGAGCAATGTTCCCTCTAAGCTGAGTTAGTGTGAGCTAGCTCACAGTTTTCTAGTCTCCGGCTCACAGACTTTCGTCTTAGCTCAGGAAGGATGGCTCCGGAGCAAACTAATTTATGCAGTAGACAAAATCGCTCGCTCACAACTTTCATGCCGGTAGCTCACAAAGTAGAGTTTTTGCTCACAAGTTTCCACAGGGAGCATTGCTCAGGAGAAACCTGCTCCTACCTTGTCCCTCTTTGGCGCCAAGAATATCTTCATGCTCATCACCCACTTTACAAATACAGGGGAGTGATGATGATGATGATGATGGTATTGTATCATATTTATGTCATATACAGCTGCATTAATGTTGATCCATTCTTTTGCCCCAGAGGTCAGCAGTCTCTTACAATCAAAGAGCCAAGCTACATCAAAATTCAGAGCTCAAGATCAACAAAGAGCTGGTATAGGAGAGGCCTCTCCTCTTGCGTATCTGAAATTATATAGCTTAACATTACTGATAACTGACATGCTGATCCATAAAGTTTCTGTAACCCATCACGGGTTGGTGTAAGTCTTTTATTCGGAAGTGGCCCATACAAAATCTCACCAAAACTGGTTATTCCAGCATTCCAACTACCCCTTAACTTAAAGACCTCATATTCCTGTTTGAAGAGTTCTTATGAAGATAGGAGCATTGTTTTTAAGGTCAACTTAATGCTCAAATTTTGATTTTAATCAAAGGAAGTGACCCATATTACAATCTAATGCTTTATTATTTTCTACCTTTAATCTACCTCGTCTATGAGGATCGAGCATCTATTCAGTCTAGCATTATTATGATGACCTGTCCTTTTTGTCATGTCTGCATGAACTATCAAGACATTATTGTTTTCTTCTACTGTATGACTGTATGGACATTGTTCATATTCTTCATTCAATCTGAAGAAGATGTCAGAAGGATATAGAAATAAGTTTGTACCCAGGATGTCATCACATTATCCTGTATATTTTGTTGTATGTGTTCATATAATTTGTGGATCCATGTTAGTCTACTGCAAAGCTATCTGGCAAAATTACATTTCAGTTTTGTTTAATTATTATTTGGTTAATGATCATATCCTTCCATTTGGGATTTATACATTCCAGACAATTTTTGCATGAAAATATCTGCTTTTTACGTGTTCTGCATAGTCCTGGCTCTGCCCTAGACTTCTGGCTGTCCTGCATCTTCCCAAAACAATCCTCATCAAAACTCTTTGGACAGAAATATGGGCTCTTCCTGAAACAGATACAAACATTCTGAGCCCAAACAGCAGAAGACTTGGGAGGGGCTCTGGCTCAGAAGAAGCGATGGGTCAGAAGGGAGTGACTGACCTGCAGCTCCAAAGACTCTGCATGGGGCCGCTTGATAAGGAAGGAGAAAGCTTCATCCCATATTGGATCTGCTGTCTGAGAGGCAACCTGAGGGCACAAAAGAGAAGCCATGACCAAAAGAAGATACAGAAGGAAGAAAAGAGGTTTGGCCCTTGCTTTCTATAAAACAATCCGTATGGTGGTGGTGGTGGTGGTGGGCCCTCAATCCAAATGAACTACAAGCATAATATTTAGTGGGGAGGGCGCTGAGGGTAGCTTGAAATCCAGATTGTTCTACATCTTGGGACTGTGTGATCAAGTACTTCTTCCACTTGATAGAATCAATACTGGTCTACTGGTTGGATTGACCCATTTACATCAATATCCATTTTCATTAATATCCTTGATAAAGAACTCTATATAACTTGTGTCTTGCTTTCTAACTATTTCTTGCAATAAAATCCATCCCTGCGCTAAATTCCTTATTATCAGGGTACACAAATGAATTTTAAACACGAGTTTTATGCAGGGTTTTCTCTTCTGTGGTTAGCCTGGCTAATCCAGTTAACAGATGCCCTTTCCAGTGAGACTCAAATTCTAGTTCAGCCAGTTGTCTTATACTTCCCTTCATGCTTCAGGAGGGCTGTCTTTACACACCCACACACACACACACACACACACACACACACACTGCATGAACTTTTAATCAGTTGAGTGCTCATTCATCGCCTGTTGTTAAAATCAATTTTTTAAAAGTTGAACATGTAAAGCTTCCTCATATGGTTATACCATTGGTACATCTAGAGCAGAATCACCCACTCTTGACTGGCAGTTGCTCAGGCCAAAAAAGATCTTTCCTGCCACCCGCTCCCAGACAGCCTTTAAGAGGCCAGGCTAGAGACTGAAGCCAGTAGTTTCTGCATGCCTCACGTGCTCTGCTACTGAGCCACAGCCCCTCACCGTTTGTCAAACTGTTCTGGAGAGGAGGGTTTGCAGCACTACAAGTATTAGCCAATCAATGCTGGGTTCAGCCAGCTTCTATTGCCAACACACAGTTTGTTTCAAGCTCCATCACAAAGAAAAGATCTGGGGAAGGATCACGGCTCAGTAGTAGAGAGCATAAGCTCTGCACAAAGAAGCCCCATGTTCAGTTCCTGGCCTCTGCCGTTACAGGATCTCAGGAATAACCATTCTCATCCTGAGACCTTCCAGAACCAGGTCCAGTCAATAGTGAGCTGGATGATCCAATGGGTCTGGCTCCGTATAAGGCAATCACATTATGTAAGAGCATACTGCATTTGCTTGAACAAGATGCACTGACCATATAAGTGGATCAATTTCTCATGGTATGCAGAAACTGCATTTAAGTGATTTGCATTTGCAAAAGAATTTACAACTGCTTCACAGTGTAAAAACAGCACAAAACCTGAAATAACTCATTTGAATATTTTAAATTAACCTCAAATATGCTTAATCTTGCCCTGACCTGGATAGCCCAGGCAAGCCTGATCTCAGAAGCTGAGCAGGGCTGACCCTGGCAAGTACCTTGGATGGCAGACTTCCATGGAATACCAGGGCTGTTATGCAGGGGCAGACAATGGCAAGCAACCACCCTGCATGTCCCTTGCCTCCAAGCCCCACTAGGGGTCACCAGAAGACAGCCATGACTTTTCCAGGCACACACTCACACACACAAATAGTTAAAAAAAAATGCTTAATCTTCATTCTTCCAGCTCTTATCTCTGTGTTAACCACTTTGGGATCAGCCTTAACATGTGCCCAGGGACAGTGAGGCTGTGTGTGCCCAGCCCCAGAGAGGCCCCCAGATGGACAAGAAGGTGAGGTAGGGTTGGGGCGGGACTGGCGGTTGAAGATGGAGGCACTGCACTTGCCTGGACCTGAAAGCACTGCTCATCAGCTGGGCAACTGGGCAATATCTTGGGCAGCCGGCATGAGGTGCTTGAGCATCTGCTAGGTTCAGTTCCCAGCATCCTCAGGTTTAAAAAGACCGGGTAGTAGGCAATGCTCCCTCTAAGCTATGGAGTGTTGTGAGCAGAAATTCTACTTTGTGAGCTGCTGGCATTAAAGTTGTGAGTGAGCGATTTGGCTACTGCATAAATTAAGTTTTCTCTGGAGCCATCCTTCCTGAGCTAAGACAGAAATGTGTGAGCCGGAGGCTAAAAAACTGTGAGCTAGCTCACACTAACTCAGCTTAGAGGGAACACTGGTAGTAGGTACAAAATACATAAGAAAGACCTCAGCATGAGATCTGAGGGAACTGCTGCCAGTCAGGGCAGACAAGACCAACCTCAATAGACCAACGGTACAACAAGGCAGCTTCATGTATTCATGTGAGAGCCCTGCCTGGGCAAGGAGGCTCTTGTCTTGCCAGACTGGGAGGAGCTTGCAGAGGCTGCTGGAGTAAGACAGGTAGAGTGTTGGAGGGTATTTGAGCCCCGGCAGCCTTGGGGCTGAGGACAAGAGCCCTGGCAGTCTCTCTCTCTCTGCCTGTCATACCAGCCCACATAAAATCCAGAACGAAAAACCACATCTATGTAATACCTTTTGATTAGGGCCAACCAAAACGACACAGAATATTGTGTAAGCTTTCAAGTCCCTCAAGAGCCCTTCATCAGGCAGATGTCACAGAAATTAAAAAGGGTGGGGGGAGGCTCTCAAGCCAGGTCTGGGGGGAGACAGTTGCCAGGAGGAAAAAAGAGCACGGGGGCGGGGGCAGGGTGGTAAACCCAAATGGAGGCCCTTAAAAGGGAGGTTTCTTAAGTGGGACTGGGGGAGTCATGGAGACATCTGTTTCATTAACTGCAAATATAAAATGAGGATTCATCATATAAACCGAGAAGCAAAGATATTTGGGACTATAAGCTAGTGCTTTGTTGGATTTTTTTCTGATTTTATTTTCCAGCCACAAAGCTACAAAAAAGGTCTTGCCCCCCTCACCCTAGGCGGCTTGTGGAATTTAAAATCTCTTCTGCCATCTCGGGAAGTGTATTTTCTGATACATTATAGGCATTTTAACATTGGTTTTAACTGCATTATTTATTGTATCTGTTTTTGCTGTAAACCACCCTGAGCCCTGCTTGCAGGGAAGGGTGGCCTAGCAAATCTAAATAAGTAAATAAATGGGCACACACACTTAACCCGGCTATGCCACAACTCCCCTAATTTTGTTGCTTCTCCTTTTCAGCTTCTCCTTCCTTGCTAGCCACCTTATGACCATTCCCTGATACAAAGCAAGGGGTTATCCCCCCCACATACGGTCATTCCCCCCAAAAATACATTCTTCTCCATATTGTTACCTTAGTCTTATAGGAGGTGCCATGGACAGAGAGATTAACATATGGGCTTGGGGGTTTTGAGCCCTTCTTCAGCTGGAGATTTAGAAAGATAGAATAGTTGCAAGTTTAGTAGTATAGGCACCAACAGGAGATGCTGTTCACATACACATCTATTTATTACGGTTCACAACCAGATTCACAACTCGAATCAACATCAACCACAGAGAAATGTAAGAATAAACATAAAAATAAATGAGTGAAATATAAGATGTATAAAAATATTAAAAAATATAAATGAAAAAAATTAACATTAATAGAAATAATGATTACAAATAAAATACTAATCTAATCTAACATCATCTAACTTGTTACATATAATACATATAATAGAAAGTAGTGCAATATAGGATATTACACAGAACTCTGTAGGAGGCGCTACATCAGGAATATCTGCATAGAGAACGCAATTAGACTGGAGAGTGAAGCAAGGGGAAGAGGAGAAGGGTGGATCACCATTATGGGTTGTACATTATATTGTAATATAGGTAAAGGTTCCCTTGCTCGAAAGCCAGTCGAATCCGACTCTAGGGTTGCGGTGCACATCTCCGTTTCAAAGCCGAAGAGCCAGCGCTGTCTGAAGATGTTTCCGTGGTCATGTGGCCGGCATGACTAAACACCAAGGCGCACCGAACGCTGTTACCTTCCCACCAAAGTGGTACCTATTTATCTACTTGCAATTTCTTGCTTTCGAACTGCTAGGCTGGCAGGAGCTGGAACTCTGCCGGAGTTGGCAGCACAGTCGGAGCCGCCGGCATTGCCAGAGCCAGAAGCTGGCCCCTCTGACTCCTCTGAGGGAGCGGCTTCGCAGGGACTTAGCCACCTGCTGCCGAGACGCATGCTGGCAGGAGCGCCGCTGCCACCAAGGGAAGGCTATATAGCTCCCACTTGGGATTGGGCTCCCCGTGGAAGCAACGAGTCGCTTCCGTGTGGACCTTGCATCCACTTCTGGCCCCTGTTCTCAGACCCTGCTCTTGTTCAGACTTCTTCCTGACCCCTGCTTTGGACAACCACTCTCTTGGACTCTCGTTTCAGCTCTTG